GGCATGTATTGGTAGGGGAATGGTTGTGTATAGTGGAGTGCTATAGAAACGCTATAGGAAAGTAGGCGCTGTTCGGGTGGAGGGGGGAGGGGGGCGTAGGGCTATTGTGCACCTTTTCCGTTGAATCGTTTGCTAGTCCATCTTGACTGACAAATCTCACTTTAGTACGTATTCAAATGAGCACTTGCTTTTGGGAAGTGTTTAGTTACTATAACTGCTATTTATTGGGTTAGTTTGCTGACTACCACAAAAGGTGCTTCCACAATCAGCTAAAAGCTGAGCTATGATAAACCCAAGGTCCACTGGGCTGGGAACGTACATATAAAGCGTCCCGGGTGGCGCTGTTGTTGACACATCAGCTTGGTGGCTTGCCCAGAGCGCAACGTTTAGCAGAGTTGCTTGACAGCTTGAGGTCCACTTTTTAGTCCTGGCTAGGATCAAGCTGCTTGCTCATAACCCAACAATCCGGCAACAACTTATTTATTTTGCCTGAATTCTGAACAAGATTTGCATTTTGTGAAAGCTTTTCTTTGATTACTTGACTTCTTCTTTCAACAAAAAGCTCTGGAAAAAAGTTTATCATGCCTAAAAAGGTGTGTAGGTGGAAGTGGCATGCCGAGCTCAGACCAGCCGAACCTTCTACCTTCCGGGCACGGAAAATTGGTATGAGGTTCTGTTGGGTGGATGAAAAACTGACTCCTCCTTCTACGAGCATGGAAGAGGCATTCAAGATTGATGGAACAGAAGCAAGCTTCATTGCTAGCTTATTCACTGTTTAACAGTTTACTGGCAAGCCATTGTGGGCCTCACTGAATTCAATGAGCTGCTAATTACTGAAGAAACTGGAATGCGTGCCACAAGAAAAGGATAGGTCGGCAGCGGAAGTTTATACTTTATAAATCGAAAAAGCGAATGACTCTGAAACGTCATGTGTTCAAGCCGAAGGATTGAATCGTTCAGCCTGAGAGGCTCACATGGTAGGAGGTTCAATTTCGGATCGAGGTCATAAACTGGTTGTAGGGTAGTTGTGTCTTTTGAGGTATTTTCACAAAATTCTTAGCGGTCATTGTTTGATAGGAGAAAATGGAGAGCCGCCAATGTCATCGATACCTATCGTACCCGCTACAGGTTGTTCGCTTGGCCATAATCGGTCCAGAAAATCTTTCTTCAAGTCGTCTCAATTTGCCCGCTCGCATCGCTAGTCACTCATGCATCAAATTTTTACTGACATAAAACTTGATTGCATTATCTGGCAACAGCACGCTACGTTTAACACAGTAGTGAGGTTGACAGGTTCTTGTTACCGTAGACAGCTTGACAGATTGGTTCTACTTTATGTTGGTCACCAGATGGGGTCTACTTGTATGTTTCCACCATACACCCGTCTGGAAAGGGCGAGGCTAGAGAAAGGAGAGGTGGGGGGGGGGTGGAAGGAACAGGGGGCCTAGGATTTTTTTACGTAAAAAGAACCATGCTCATCTGTAGGCAGCAGAGAAAGTCAAGTTTGCTGATTTACATTGTTGACCCGATTGGTTCTACTTTATAGTTCCACCACTACTGCCGTCTTGGAAGGGGGGGGCGAGAGAAAGGGGAGGGGCGGTGAAAGGAAAGGGCGGTTTGGTTTCATTTTTCATGTAAAAAGTGAACAGTGCTCATCTGCTGGCAGGGAGGAGTCAGTTAGTGAGTTTTAGAGTCAAGAGCTGGAGGTGAAATCGCAACATTGAGCTCTGGACTCCTAGACATCTCTTTTGGGATCACCCTGAATCTGACACTTTCGTAACTAGTGAGAAAATGGTTTCAGACCTCAGAAACTGTTGGAGTGGGCTTTGCAAAGCCACGGTGACGGCGTCTTCAAGTCGACCAAAGCCGTCGGGCCTAAATCCCACTCCACGAGGTTGAGACATCACCTTGTAATAAAGTGAGATCCAAAACGGGAAGACCATCCTTGCTCATCATCAAGCGTTTGAAAGAAGGTCGTACGACTGTTCTACCCCAAAATCGCTTCAAATCCTGCATAGAGGACACAATAGGATAAATCTGCTAGTTTTGCTCTCTGCGGAGTTTCAAATGACTGGGTCTGACGCGGTGTTATCCTTTTCTCCATCAGGGTTTGGCGCAGTACCAACTTGTCCTCGACTAATCGAGGGAGCTGGTAGGAGATCTTCATTGCAGGCTGGCGCTGGCACAAGCCCCCTCTCTCCGTAATGGCCCAAGCGTCCGCAGCGAATTGAAACTGTTGATGTAAATGCTACAATGGTAGGAAACAGCTCACTGCATGCATATCGACTCCCTCTCCCCCAACCAACACCACGTTACTGACAAGGGATAATCTACATTTTCCAGGTGGATAAATATATTAGTTCATGTTATCGCAAAATTAAAACAACAATTATCAACAAAAAGGGCTTGCATTAGTCGAGAAATGAGTCTAGTATACCTTTCAGCTGCATGCTAGGCGTCAAGTTTTTGAGATACATTCCACGCTCGTCGTGGAAACTAAGCGCTACCTACCACGTAACCTTCCTAAGTGGTGCATCCAACCTTTCTAGGACAGTGAAGAGAAGAGCAGTCGAGAAGCCACAAGCGGTTATGGCATGATCCTCCAATTCGACGAAACAGTGAACGAGTGTCCTGAGTCGAATTGAGGGAGAGAACAACCTCTTTTTCAGGAGCTTTTACATGACGCACCAAACTTGCAGCTTTGGATATATGGAATCCTGCCCTTAGTTAGATTTTTTTAGGTTACAGTAGTGGAAAACACTGCTACGGAATTTCTACATGTTACTTAGTGTATGCTGGAAGGACCAGTTATCACTCAGTAGCCGCAACTCATCCGAGACATCCAGAGCTATGGCAAAATATCATTATTGTAACAGTCTCGGCAGGAATGTTTATTGAGTATCACAGTGTAGAGGCCAAAATCTGCCACTGTGAAGTGATCAATGACGATTACGAGCACGGAAGCGGGCGCGGTAGCCTCCATTGTTACTTCCCTGAACATACAAGTATAAATATTTTCCCAGTAAATTGCTTTTGCAGCTTTCTTCGCCAGAACAATCCTTCGTATTGACGTTATTTAACAAACCGGATACTTGGTGGGGAGGTGCCGGATAGCTGCGGGTGATGCTGGAGACGGGTAGCTAGTCGGTGCTGGAGAATGGGTTTGTAGGGCAGAGGTGTAGATGTGAATAGGAGGAGGTCATGTAGGAGGTGAATAAGGGAGGAGGAATAGGAGTGGAATACGGGATAACTGGGTGGTACTGGAAGTGGGTTGCTAGGTTGAGACATTGAAGAAGGTGAAGGAAGCAGTGGTGAAGAAGGTGGAGGGTGCACTGGAGCCTGAAATTCATGTGAACTTCTGCAGAGTGATTATTTGAACGTACTCAAAGACTTACAGTTTGGCCCTGGCTGCCATCACTGTTGTAAGCTTGCTGATCGCCTCCACTTGATGACGGTGGAACAGCTGGGGGCGGCTGCACTACTTCAGCTGCCTCGTAGCCCGAATTTTGGGAGTTGGCCAGCGCGACGCTGGCTACGGCAAGAAGAACTAAGTACTGCATCTGAAAAGCTCAGACATTCAAGAGGCTTATAAGTACCATTTGATCAATGATTCTAGGAGATTCGCGAGCATTCTACAGTACGGATCCAGAGAATCAAGGAATCAGACGGTGAACTGATAAAGGGAAGACATCTCCCGTGCCTAGAGGAGGGTTAATTAAGTAATGGGTATCCATGGAGAGATCCAAATGTATTTATACTGTTCAGCAGGCTGCAATGGAATGGAATTCGGTTCTGTAAGTGTTCCGTGTCATGCTGTGAATCCATCAGTCCCAACTGTGAATTGTTTTTTCTGCACCATAAAACCTTTAGACGGCGAGGATAATCGTGTTTTAACCTTGAACTCAACCATAAAGCGTTCAACTAGTAGGTGCTATAGTTATCGCAAGGTTACTGGATTACAGGCTGCACGCTTTGCATACAGCTGAGAATTGAACTTGGACTTGCCTTCCGTCTTCCTGTTGTTTGCCAGCAGCTACTTCGCCTAGGCCGTCAGACTGCGCTTCACCTTAACGGCTTCTATGGTGTCACGGTGCAGGGGCGGCACTTTTACTACTTTTTTGCACCCTGTTGTCATCTCGTTCCATTTTTCAGCGTATACACTCCATGTCGCACGTAAGGAGAGGGCGTGGCCAGGTACACATGAACATGACAATGGATGTCTTTTATTTGCGACACGTCCATTTGAAGACAGTTGTCTCCTTGTCTTGTGCTGGACAACGAAATGGTTACAGTTGTCTCGGAGCGGCAATATCCCATCGAAAGCCGAGCTGTAACGCTCAGTAGGAGTACGCCGCCCCACCTTTCCGATCTCGCATATATGAAGTGTACGCTCTCGTGTACCCAAGCTCAAGCGAGAAAATATGTATCAAAAGTTTTATCCTTATCGATATCAAAAGGTCGACTTGTTTCCACTTTTGCTGACGCTGGTTTTCTCCTGTCATTTCTCCGAGACGGGCAAGGGAATCGTGAATTGCCGCTTCGTCGAGCGCGACTAAAGGTGCGACGTTTATGTGTTTCGCACTACCCTTCCGATTTCTGTAGACAAGTACATGGTGATACGTCTGTTTCTGGCCACACATTGCCTGGTCTCGACCAGTACTACTTAAAATTGTCGTCACTAGCGGCGTCGCGCGCGACCCCCACTGGAGCGACGAATTACAATTCTCTTGCCACATACCCGTTATTTCTACTTTCCGAATTAAACATCTTAATGCTACACTCCTGAATCACAGTGAAGCCAGCAGTTCTTCCGTGACCGCGAATAGATTTCATTTGTCACAGAGCCTTTTTGGGAAGTTAAGCCAACTTTTTCGAGCATTGATTAGCTCCCTCGTATCTTTCACAGCTCAGCCAGGTATATGAGTAAATCTAGGCTTCTGAAAGGAATTCGGATGGGTGGCATATTTCGGCCATCATGGAACCGTACAGTCTTGCTGGCTGCGAGTGCTGGTGCGTATCACTGGGCCTGTTTGGAGCGGCGCCAACCTGTTCCCCATCAATTGTTGAAGCAAGCAAGCGACATAATTAGTCGAAAATGGGCTGGCGCTGCGCCGAAGTCAGCTCCTAGATGCATCCCAGCATCCGTTGCAACCAGACACTACCTCTACTATGTGTGCAATCATCTTCTAGAAGGCAAAGTCCGCGCTGATCGTGTAGGCGGAGACAGACATCCAATGCGCCTTCCTCTTTGAGGAGCACCTCTATCGCCTAAAACGAATGCGCCTTCGAGGACTACCCAGTACTCTACTGTCCCCACCTATATGATCAGCCTGTACAGTGCTTTTGAAGAAGCAGTAATCTCACTGTGGAACTAGAAGCTTGCAGTTTTCCAACTGCCAAAGCATTTATTGATAAATGCAGAATCAGTTTATCGACAGAAGATATTTCGAAAGAAATCTGAAAATCCGGTACCAATGGTATCACACAAACACGGGAGCCTTCAGTATGGCTGGATCGCGACACTGAGTCGAGTCGAGACGGGTGATCTGCGGAAGCAGTCTGATCGCTTTCGCCCTGAATGAGGCAGTCTTGTACTTTTGAAGCTCTGTTGTGATTAGGAAATGTAACAGATAAACATAAGCCTGGTTCAAATCCTGTCCTAAGCCGGCCCATTAAGCCATACCTCAGCTTTGTCACATTCATATTGCACTACAGTACCTGTATTCTTGTGCTTCAGAGAAAGGGGTTGCTCTCCAAGTACACGAGATTCAAGTGAGGCAGCTCAACCAGTTCGTCGAATACCTGCCAGTCCTCCAGCTGCAAAACACGACGGATATTAAAGCGCACATAAAACCTCTGGGGGCTTTCGATGGTCAACTATCTCACCTACAATTGATAGCGTCGCAACAAGATGCGGCGGTATCAAGAGGGGCGGAATGAATTCGCCTCCGGCTGCCTTTCTCTACCAATCGCTATCGATTAGTGATCGCTTCAAGAAGAAAACAACCAATGGCGGACATTCCTTTCGAAACAGCCCCGACTGATTGATTCATTATCAACTGTTCCACACTGTATCACATAGCGCTCAAACCCCCAAACACCGGCC